AGAAGCGAGGCACTTGTTCCTAGTAGCTTCTTGTTACTACTAGCTTGTTACTACTACGGATCCCTCCGGAGCCGGATCCTTGGGCAAACAAGCGGTGCCGATGCAGTCGGTAATGGGCATCGGCTGGTCCAGCTGCATCAGGGCGAAGTCCCCGTCCGACTCCGAAATGACGTTGTAGGTGGGGCTGCTGTAGACCTCGCCCAGCTGATGTTGACCAAAGCTAGGTTGGAGGGCGCTAGTAGGTTGGAGGCCACCCAAGTTTTACCAAAGCACTTCTGGTTCAACCTTCATCAAACTGTGGCAACAAGATGTGTGTCGGATTCAGAACTAAGGAAGGGCGGCGAAGTCCAAGAGATAAACCCTGCTAGACCTTTTCAGGCGAAAAGAAAGAATGCCAGTGGTTGGAAGTCTCCATCGCTTGGAAAACTCACACAACACCCTCCCTTAGGAGCAAGGACGCTACTAGGGGCTCCCGGCCTTCCTCCTTGGAGCAAAGGACGCTACTAGGGGCTCCTGGCCTTACTACTAGGAGCGATCGGACGGTACTAGGGGCTCCTGGCATCGCTACAAAGGAGACTACTAAGCCACTTCGCTCACTTCACTCCGTGTCACGCCTTCTTCACAGTTCGCGTCACGGCCGCTTCGTTGGAACTCTTCTTCCAGTCGCTCGAGACGATTCGGATGTTCCGAAGGTTGCAAACGTTGGTGATTTCTGCTGCACAGTGAGCTGCGGTCAAGACCCAGTCAGGGGCAATGAGAGTACCTGAGGCACTGGGGAGGTGCACGATCGTCATGTGAGACCGCATTTAGACACTAGACACTTGGCATCCTTTGTTTTCCTAGGCATGTGGATCACGATCTTGACAATGTAGGAGCACCAATATGGAGTTGGACCACATGTACGGCTCACAACCTCCGTGGCCCAAGCGTCCTCCACAGAAGTGCCACGGATGCCCTGCCACCAAGGACTGAATGCTGACCTGCCAGCGATATACACAGCGCTCGGCCGCTCGGCCGTGGACGATCCGCGCGCGGCGGCCCTTGCGCAAAGGGCCACCCAGCACGCCGCATTCATGAAAGTCCCTTCGTTCGCCACGCAAGGAATTCTCAGACGAAGCCAAGACCAGAAGCCAAGACCTGGGAAGTATGAAGTATGCAAAGTACGCGCGAGCTGGAAGTACGGCCAGTGTCGAGATGATTGGGAAGGGTTCTCAGAACAACAAAACAGTCACCGCTTGCAGTCACATCTTCACCTGCCCAAATCTTGCTTTTGATAAAAGGGTTCAGAGAGAACGGCACGACATTATTTGTCAGCAAGGTGGACCAATCTCTTCGTCTCAATCTTCGTCCCCTCCACCAAACCCGCTGTTACAAACAAGCGACCACCAAACCAGCTTCATAGCGCCGTAGCCGTAGAAAAAACGGAAACAGGAGGCGCACCACCGTTTGTATTCTGTTCTGCACAGGAGGCTACTTTTGAGCCACCGGCTGGCAGGCGATGAAGCGTGAGAGAGAGACGTATCTGAGGTGGGATTTCTGAGCTAGGATCAGGCGAGTCTGTCAAGCTGAATGCAGGAACCTGCAGGAGCCTGGGGGGTGTGCATTGATTGGTGCTGCATAACCACGAGTCACCTCACAGCACCCAACACAGCGAACGTACAGCGTGCGATTGGTTTAGCACAGCCGTGGCAACAACCGCTGCCATCCTTTTGCGTGTTCTTGGTGCTTTAGCACAAGAACCATGCAAGGAAAACCACACATGCTATCTTGCAACAAATCGTTGCGCTATCTTTGAGATACCATGTGCCTTGAGAAAACCCTGGAATTTCATAAGAATTCGAATACGACTAAGCTTCGCCCGGGATACTTCAGCTTTGGAGATGCGACAGCTGGCCAAGTTGTTGGCCTCAAACACAATACTCTCAGGATTGTTTCACTGTCAGCACTGGAGTGTCCTTGCCACTACCTAATGTACATGGCCTACACCAACGAAAAAAATAAAACTATAATATCCACACGGGTAAAAAGTAGAGGTTCCTTACTTGTAGAGATCTATGGCGTCGACTTTTTGATCAAGATCTAGACCTACCAAGTGCCCCCCCCAAAAAAATAAAGTGGTCTGTCTTGGCGCTGTTCTAGACCTACCAACACTGGCCAGAAAACGTTCTCGACTTATGTTTTTGAAAGGGCCTTCGCTGTTTTTTCCCTGTCGATAGCACGATACACCACTCACATCTGAGGCACCCACTCCGCTAAGAGCCCCTGCCATCAGCAGGTCAACCCAAACTGTCCAAACCCCAATTTAAATTGTGCCAAACGTTTCTTCAGTGGCGCCACTGGAGGTTTCTGGATTGTGAACACACCATGTAGGAAAAGTGACATGGAAAATCATACATCCATTGTGTGCCGCAAACAAACCGCACAATAAACTGCCCGATCGTCTTCGGGACGAGCACATAGCACAACTGCGTGCCTCTCGGGTATAAAGTCCGAGGCCTGCATGGGTCACAGGGTGCCATTATTAATTATACTCCTTGCTACTAGGAACAAGTGCATCGCTTCTAGTAACAAGTGCCTTACTACTAGGAGCAAAGGACGCTACTAGTAGCAAGGTGCCTTGCTACTAGTAGCTCCTTGCTACTGAAGGACCGCCCAAAGTCCAAAGCGCCTGAACCTAGGTCTTGGTCTTGACTACCTTACTACCTCGAAACAAGCCAAACCTTTACTGTTGTAGACCATTTTAATCTGTCGTGTCTATTCTTTCCTTTAGACCGTGAGACTGACCTTTCTATTCTCTTCTTTCTTTGCCACTTCCTTCATAAAGCTTCCCCATCAATCTGAGGTGACGTGCAAAATGCACGGCAGCCACGATGCACCGCCCTTCTTTCGGCTCTCAATCCCGCAGCTTCGAACTTCGTGCCCCCCAATGCCCCCAAGTGAAGCCAGGACCCAGTGCGAATCTAAGAGGCATCTAGAGAGCATATCCGGAACGAACGTCAAAAAAAACGAACGGTTTAAGGTTACAATTTCTCAGGGAGATTGTGAGGAATACGGACGAAGACAAGACTCGGGCTGGGTTGGAGGCAGGGTCAACAGACTCAACCCAAACTTGGAGGCTTTGTGGGACAAGTCCGGAGAAGAGCTGGTATCCTTTGTCAAAGCATAAACCAGGCTGGTTGTCACAAAGCCAAAGCACACTACACTTATGTAGCAGGGACAAACGATAAGATGTCCAACGCAGCCAAAGCATAGCCTGGTCTGATGAGCTTCGTCGAAGCTAGCAACAGAGTACACAACCACACACAGGTCGAATGAAGACCAAAAATAAACCACTCTTGGTGGAATGCACTGCAACTTGCAACTTGGCGTGCAAGTAGTGAAGAGAACTATTCCCTACCTGCACACAAAGCTCGGCATAATCAACGAGCAAGGGCCTGGAAAGCCCCAGTCAAAGGTGGCCGCACATGGTGGCCAATGGGTGCTTTCACCTACTCAGAACAAAGTCACCTTCGATCGGAAGCCGCGACCTTTGCACATGCACAAAACGAAGGCGAGCCACAAGTGGCAGCAAACACCTTGCAACATGAGGATGGCACTCCCCCCTATGCTGGCGTTCAAGTTCCAAGCCAACATAAATCTCAGGGTTCTCCCTTTGGGAACAGGTTAGACTGGAAAGGGAACGGTTGCTTTGGACGAAGCCACTAAAGACAAATGGCATCCTGCAGCCACGCTAGGGCCGTGCTTCAAGAACTAAGAGAAACGGAGTTGGCTTCCAGTACTGTCTTCAGCAAGCACATAATCACGATGAGGCACACCATCGCTTCATGACAGCAAACAAAGACTGAGCACGGGACTCGCTCAACTTCGAGAAAAAATTGAGATCAAACCTTTGAGTTGTTGGATTTGTGAGTGCTTTGAACACGAAATTCTGAGGGCCAGTCCGACACCCTTAACAACTTGGCCTCTGAGTCGAGGCGGCCGCTAGGCAAATGCTCTGCGCAACAGAGCAACTAGCGTCCTTGTTACTAGTAGTAAGGCACCTGTTACTACTAGCGTGGCACCTGTTACAACTAGCGTCAGGAGTGTTTGGGCGCTGCTGGGGCCACAACAAATCAGACTGGGCATCACACAAACTTCCCAGTTGCGCCGCACGAAGTTGCGCAAACAAATCCTCAGCACATAAAGACACAACTTCATCAGGCCCAGCAAAGTAGAATGCAAAATCCGAGGTGCCCCTCAATCTTGCCAAGAGAGACAATTCATCAGCCGGCAAATAGCCAAGATGGCTGGACGAGGGTTCGGCGCGGACGTAGTCCACAATGGCCAGCCGCAATGGCACAACCACAAAAGGGAAGCGAGAGATTGCTACAATGAATCATGACAGCAGCAAAGTCTAGCAAATGAGTGCAAGCAAAACCACACAAAGTCCGTAACGAGGAACATATGGCTGCGTTGGAGAGACAACCGCTTCAAGCTTTAGATGTGTCGAGCCCGATGCTGCTCCAACGATCCGTGGTGGTCGATGTCAGACTTCTTGCCCGTCTAGTTTTCTCTCTCTCTTTGGACCTTTAGACCTTTCTTGTTTCTTTGTTGTTTCTGTTTTTTGGGGTTTTCTTTCTTCCGGTGTTCTTCTATCTATCCATCCAGCCATCTATCTGTCTTTCTTGATTCTGTTTTACTTGCACGTTAGAGGGATTGTTGATCATCGAGTCAAGGAATCTGATTCAACAAATACTAGGAGCTGCTCAAAAATCTCATGACGGACTCCTTTTCTGAAGAAATGAGGAGCATGCTGCAAAACAACAAATGGCTCAACTTCGTGCCATCCGTGCCTTCCCACGCACGACGCGGCCCGGCCGGACCAGGTGGCGGGCCAGGTGGCCTGTATTGCGATGCATGAAGCCCAAAATCGACCCATTTGTGTACAAAGAAGCTACGAATGGTCGTGACCAGAATGGCCGCCCCAACGACAGGCAAACACAGGCAAGTCAAGAAGAAAACCCCATCGACCCTGAAAAACCAAACGGCACGGGCTTCTCCTGCCTCTGGGGGCCTCTCCTTGGTTAATCTTGGGTCGCAAAGGGATATCAAAACGTGTGTCAAAGATCCAGGCGAAACAGTACCAACCCGTGCGCGGATCTAAAGCCGCCCCCCTTTTCCGAAACATACGGGGAAAAATGAAAAGCACCCAAATGG